TTTCTTTTCTTTTTTTTTTCCGGAACCGGAGATTGCACTCGGGCCCTTGCACTTGCCAGGGAAGCACTTATTCCATTGAGCTGTCTCCCCGGCCCTTCCAAATATATTTTTAAAAAAAAGTTCTGAGGCCCCCTTAGGTATCCTTCCAGGCGCTACTGTTCTACTATTATTTGCTAGTTAGCATCTGTTGTGGATAGAACAGCTGTATCTCATCTTCCCTCCAAAATTGGCTTGGTAACTTCTCAAAACTACTTTTCCATAAATATTACAGCTTTCTCATCAGCAGCCAGGTCCTAGGGACAGTCTGGATGTGCTTTCAAGGCCAGTATGGCCATTGGTAGTCTAGGATCCTGACAGATTAGGAAGTAGAACTCTGTTTTATGTAGTGTGATCACTACTCAAGCTTCCATAGATTTTTCTTTGTTTTCTTTTTTTTTTTTTTGTAAATCCTTTATAGGAGATGAACTGAGTTGCCTTAGCACCTGTATAACTGCCTTTTCCCTTGCGAGGTCTGAGCAAGCCTGAGTATCAAGTTCAGAGGAAGTGTCTAGATATAAAAAATTTACAATAATTCCTCAAATTTCATGGTACTATAGAACACACATCTCCAAAGATTCCAAGTGATTTCCCAATTGTTACCTCTTTTATGTAGCCATCATCCCCAAAAGGGAAGTGGCTAAGAGACTCAGCACCCTACTGAACAGGTAATGAAGTATAGGCGCAGGATCATGATGGAACACCGTTGTGATTTACATACGTGACTGTAACGCTAATAAATTTGTAGTAGGTTTTATTAGCTACTGTGTGTATTTCCCTATAAATAGCACCCCTAAAGCATTGTGATTTGTTGGTCTCTTCTCCTCAGGAGGTTGCCCCAAAGCCTGTTGTGATTTCTACCCCGACACCCACCATCGTACGTCCTGGCTCCCTGCCTCTCCACTTAGGCTATGATCCACTTCATCCAACCCTTCCCTCCCCAACCTCTGTCATCACACAGGCTCCACCGTCTAACAGGCAAATGGGGTAAGTAAATAGAGCAGGGAGGAGCAGGGAAGCCTGAATCTCTTTCAACTTTGTGAAATTATCTTACAAAATAGGAACTGTTTTTGAATACTTAAGGAGAATGAGTTAACTAAGATTGTCCCTCAAAATAAACATTTAGAGCTAGGGATGTAGCTCAGTGGCAGAACACTTGCCTAGCATATGTGAGGCCCTGTTTTGTTTCTAGCATAGGACAAGTAAATAAATAAATAAATAATTTCACATAAACTACCTTTTTTAGTAGTTAAGCACATACTTATTTGGGGATAATATATCTGTAATTTGGAGGCTTAATACTTCTTTAGTTAAAAAAGAATCCTTAAAACTTTTGGAAGTCCATCATAGCAGCAGAGGTCACACAAAGAAGTATATTTAGGTCTCAGCGTCATTCCTTTGGAATGGATGAAAGGCTGAGCCCTTTAACTCATCTTCTTTGAATCTAGTATTCCCCTCAGCCCTAAGTTAGTGTTCTTGGTCTTTACTACCCCCAATTTTATTTTTATATCTTTCTTTACTTCTGGCATGATCCATGCAACTTTTCTGATGGGATGGCTTGAGATCCCCAGGTACCCATGGGTTAAGAAGTTGTTATAAGGATTCAGCTGCTGCTGCTGCTCTTTTCTTTTTAAGATAAGGTCTCTCTATGCAGTCAGGCTGGCCTTGAGCTCACTTTGGGGAATCTTGCATGATACCACTACACCAGTGGTGCTGTTCTTGAGCTCACTTTGTAGCCCAGGCTGGTCTCGAACTCACAACGATCCTCCTGCCTCAGCCTCCCAAGTTACAGGTGTGTGTGCCACCATGCCCAGCAGGATTCAGTTTCTTAAAGCTTATTATTCTCTCCAACTAACTAGGAAAGCTTAAAAAGGAACTTCTCTTTTGGGCAGAAGAGCAAACCATGGAAAAGAATGAGAGAAACTTGTTCAAATTTGACCACTGTACGACATAAATCATATTTGCAAAATGACAACTTTGATCCAGCTTCCCCTTACCTAAGGCAAGATAAAAACTTATACAGGCTAGTGGTAGAGATGTTTAGTTAATTTTCTAAACTTTGAAGAATATTACCCTCCTGCTGGTTGAGTTTGCTTAACTGGCAAGGTACAGAATTTTCATGCTGGAGTATATAGCTCAGTGGAAGAGCAGACTCTAGTCCTGGTTTCTGTCCCCAGCACCATGACCACCACCAAAAAAAAAGATTCACTTTGTCATTTCTCTCCATCTGTAAAAGTAACATTCCTTGTTTTTCTCATTGTAAAGAGGGTGTTGAGACTTTACAATGCTTCTGTATGCCTTCCTGAACTAGAAAAGACTGAAAAATCTGTTCTAATTATAGGAGAAAGAGCCATAGGCAAAAGATGTGTATTTCCCTTTATGTCTCCTATAGGTCTCCCACTGGCTCTCTCCCTCTCGTCATGCATCTTGCTAATGGACAGACCATGCCTATGCTGCCAGGGCCTCCAGTACAGATGCCTTCTGTTATATCGGTGAGCTCTGTAGTTGGGGCAGCCAGTCGTACCAATACACTAATTCCTCCTTCTACCCTCCTTTCCTCTGTCATAATCACAGAGGGGCTACTGGGAAATGTGGGCTCTAGTCTATATTAGTGGAGTAGGGAGCCTACCCAAATTCTTTACTAATCTCTGCCAAGCCAGCACTGTGGAACATTAGACAAAGGCTCATCTGGACAATTGGCTCCTGGTCTAGGAATTGATCTTGCCAGCCTAGTGATTGGTTGATTTCACTTGGCACACAGTATTCCTCAAATTGCTACCCCCTTTCTCAAGATATAACTGTACCCTTTTACTCTGCAATATCCTTAAGATAAGGATTAGATTCCCTATCCTGTGGTTCTCAATGGAGAAGGTATTTCCCAAGCTGTCCCTGCAGCCCTTTGGGAATGTTCCACAGAACAAGCCTAACACACCAGTGCCACTGAGACGATAGTATTATATCTTCTGGGTTTCTGTCTTTCTCTTGATCCAGCTTGCCAGACCTGTGTCCATGGTACCAAACATTCCTGGTATCCCTGGCCCACCAGTTAACAGCAGTGGTTCAGTTTCTCCCTCTGGCCACCCTGTGCCCTCAGAAGCCAAGATGGTAAGTATATCTTAGCCTGGGGTAATGTTGGACCTTCTGAAAGAAGTGATATCAGCCTAGATTTTTCAAGCAAGCTGAGCAAAGGAACCTTCTGGGGCTTGCAAAGCTCAGGACACCCTGCTATTAATTCAAAAAAGAAGAGACCCTGATTCATGACTCTCACCTCCTCTCCCTACCTTTAGAGCCTTATACATAGAACATGGCAGTGAAAAAAGGCAGCACAGATTGTTTGGATTGGAATACTTGTCATTTTCATTCCAAGGTGACAGATGGAGAGTGGGTGAGTGGCCAGGGGAGCTGGCCAAGAGGTGAATAGCTGCGTAACCAGCATCTGGCCCAGCTCCAGAAGAGAGCTTTCATCTGGCCTCTTTTGCTTCAATAAGCCCCAGTCCCCAACTGTGCCCAGGATGATAGCCAGGGAACAGAGTAGGCATTTTAGGGAACCAGGTGCACATTTTCTATTGATGTCATTTTTTTTAATTCCTCTGTTAAGAGAAAATTGGAATGGAAATTTTAACGTTCTATAAGGTCAGAAATAGAATCTAAACCCATCCCTCTCATCCTTGATAGAATATGACCCTTGACAAGATATTTTTTCTCTTTCTCTATAGAGACTGAAAGCTTCCCTCACCCACCAAGTCTCCTCAATCAATGGTGGTTGTGGAATGGTGGTAGGCACTGCCAGCACTATGGTGACAGCCCGTCCAGAGCAGAGCCAGATCCTCATCCAACACTCTGATGCCCCATCTCCTGCCCAGCCACAGGTCAGTACAGCCCTTGGATGGGAGGAACCAGCTGTAATACTCTTACCCTTTATGACCTGTCTCTTTTTTACAGGGGACACAATATTAGAGAAGAATGGAATTCAGCTTACTAGGTATCTTCCTGCTATTTTGGTTCTTGTGACAGTTTCACTACAGCAAAAACAGTATTTCTTTTTCTTTCTTTCTTTCTTTTTTTTTTTTTTTGGAAGAACCAGGGATTGAACTCAGGCCTTTGTGCTTGCCAGGGAAGCACTTATTCCACTGAGCTATCTCCCCGGCCCCCAAAACAGTATTTTTTTACCCGTGTGTTAGTTGCACATGTGAATAGACTGAATAACACACAGTTGTGAGGGATACCTCTTATTTTGTTTTTTGGGTTTGTTTTTTTTTTTCAATATATGAACGCTAATGTATTTGTATTTCAGAAATGTCTGAAATACGGCATTTCCTCAAGCTACATTATGGCTTAAACAAAGGAAGTTCCCCTATGCCCATCAATTAAGTCTTAGAAAAAAAATGACTTACCTGGTTAGGTTTCAAAAAAAAAAACATAGGGGACTGGTGAGATGGCTCAGTGGTCTAAAGCACCTGCTTAGAACAAGCTTAGCGAAAAAAGCACAAGGACCATGGTTCAATCCCCCAGTACCACATGCCAGCCAGCCCCGCCCCCTGGCGGGCTGAGCTGGCCACACACACACACACACACACAAATAAGTAAAATTTGAAAAAAAAAAAAAACATAGTATGCTAATACAGTGTGATGTTACAGTATTACAATGGCTCAGTAAGCTGATGGGGTGGTATATGTCTGTAATCCTAGCACTGTTGGAAGCTAAAACAGAAGGATCACAAGGTCAAGCCCAGTCACAAAATAAAAAAGAGCAGAGGGTAAAGCTCAATAAAAAGGCCCTGGGGGGCTGGTGAGATGGCTCAATGGTCTAAAGCACCTACTTAGAACAAGCCTAACAAAGCACAGGGACCACGGTTCAATCCCCCAGCACCACATGCCAGCCAGCCCCGCCCCCTGGTGGGCTGAGCTGGCCACACACACACACACACACAAATAAATAAATTAAAAAAAAAGGCCCTGGGTTCAGTCCCAAGCACACACACAAAAATGATAATTCAAGTAAAAGAATAAGAAAATGGCAAAAGCCTTCTCATTACCAACTAAATCTCATCACAGAGAATCAAAAAGCCAGAAGACACCCATTTAACTGCCTGATTCTCAAGAAGATCTCAGTTTTAACAAGATTCTTTGGAAACCAAATGATAGTTATCAGTTTTCACAGCGGTCTATACTGGGCAGGCAACAGTGACCTGAGACTGGTTTCTGGAGTTTCTTTTTTTGCCCAGTTTCCTTTCCTGATGTCACCTCCTACGTTATTGGTTACCACCACATGTCCAGACATTTCATGGCCATGTGCTGCCTTAAAGCGTGGCCAACAATACAAGCTTTCATTTGAGTTTTCTTGTTGGAAGCTAAGTCTGCCCACCTTTTTGTATCCCCCACCCCAAAGCCAACCAGCCCAAGAGATGCTAAAGCAGTAACTTCCTGACTGAGCTATACTCTTTTCTCAGGGAAAAGACATGGCATCCTTTTTATTATTATTATTTTTTTAATGAAAATTCTTCATTGTACAGATTCCCATTATGACATGTGATGACACATTTGAGCTGGGTGAGATACTCCATGGCTAGGATCCTAGCTACTCAGGAGACTAAACAGGAAGATCAAAAGTTTGAGACCAGCCTAGGCAACTTAATGAGACCTGTTTCAAAATGAAAAACTAATAAAGGCTTAGAAAGGCCAGGTTCTATTGACCTATGCCTCCAGGTAGAGACTGATTTTGCCCTTGAGCCAGGGAGGTTCCAGGACTCTGAACCCCATAACCGCTCAGGAGAAAAGGGTAGGTGTCTGGAGCAGGAGAACCTGGCTCTGAGATTCACCACAGCATGCTGGTGGCTCAGTACAGTGATCCTGTCCCTAAGGCCACTCACCAGAGCTGCAGATCAGATGGCACCAGGCCCAGTGGACACCACATCTGAACCCTTAGTCCACTCCCAAGATTCCACTCCTTACCTGTAGCTAGGACCTCCCTGAATTGCTGTGCCCCTGAAAGAGGAGACACAAGCAATGGTCCTGATTCTAGGTCAAGAGATTTCGAACCCAAAAATATTAACATTCTCAGAGACATTAAGGCCAGTAGCAACATCACCAACAGGAAGAACAAAGAAAAAAAAAAGTTCACCTGAAAGAAAATTACCATGAAGGTGCTCCTACGAAGCGTGCAAACCAGTTCTCTCTGGGCATACAGTCTTTTTTCTGATGAAAATGAGAAAGAAACAGTGAGATTAAAAGCCTCTCCACTCTAGAGAAAATCATCAACAGCCTTCTTCGAGTGCTAAGGGGGAACCTCAAGAAGAACAGACTACACATAAGCATGCTGAGGGCCAGGTATCTGCACAGGGGCAAAAGGATCCTGCCCTGAGGTTCCAGAAGATAGCCAGGGCCTTGCACAAGGTAGAGACCCTTGCCACCTGGCAGAGCACTAAATAAAATCACCATATTTAAACATGAAAAAAAAAATAGAATAAAAGAGGGCTGGACCACTAAGAAGAATATATGCAGTGTATTATTTGTTGAAACTGTACTTTCGATTTGATTTGAAACTGTCTCATTGCTATATGTTTATCAATAAAACTTTGAAAAGAAAAAAAAAAAAAAAGAGGGCTGGAGACATAGCTCAGTATGAAAGCCTTAGGTTCGTTTTCAGTTAGAAGAATGAACAAAACAAATCTATACAAACTATAAGGGTCCTCATTAAATTCTTAAAAATATATGTGTTAACAGTATCTAGGTAACAACATTCTCTTCCATGCATCCCCAATGCGATGTTGGCTGGCCGCCCTTCTGGGCAGAGATGTGTTTTACTCATTGACTTTTTGGACTGTTCGGAGAGAAAATACATTTTATTACTTGTTAGAACTATTGTAGGAGCTAAAGTGTGTTTAAACATACAGTAATCTACATAGCAGTTGCTAAAGTATATTCTCTACCAATTCTTTCAAAGAGCATATGTGAAAAATCAACTTTCTGAATTCATCAGTATCAAAAAGTATCTTTGTTTTCTCCTCAAAATCAAATGTCAGTTTGGCTAGATTCTGGCCTTGGGGCTGGAAGCCCCTCTCCTGCAAGGCTCCTGTGCCCTTGCCCCGCTAACATAGTATCCAGCATACTCAGGGAGAAATTTGCCATCAGCCAGATTCTTGTTTTGTAGGTGATTTCTTCTTTGTCTTAGGAATCCTTCCAGATTTTCTCTTTTTCACAAGAACTCCAGACCACCACCAAGATACATGTAGGAGTGAGTCTTCTCTTATCAGCCATGCTGGGAATTCGATGAGTTGTGACCACTTCAAGACTTCAGTTCTTGGGGCTGGTGAGATGGCTCAGTGGTCTAAAGCACCTACTTAGAACAAGCTCAGCAAAGCACAGGGACCACGGTTCAATCCCCCAGCACCACATGCAAGCCAGCCCCGCCCCCTGGTGGGCTGAGCTGGCCACACACACACACACACACACACACACACACACACACACATAAAAAAATTAAAAAAAAAAAAAGATTTCAGTTCTTCCTTAACTCCAAAATGTATCTTCTGCTCTATTCTCTTTTGTATCTTTATCTGGAACTCCTAGGAGTCTCTATATCTGTCCTTTCTAACTTGTAGTTTTTCTTTAGTCTTTAGCTGCTTGGACATTTGTATTGTATCCTTAGATACTTCTTCCATTTGGTTGTCTAGATTGCACATTCTTTCCTTGTGTATACCAGTGCTGCTATGTAGATCATCTACTTAATGTTTAATTTCTGAGACGTCTGGGTGGTATTTCCTTATATTCTCAATTCTTCTACCTCTCTCAAAATGCTGATCACTCTTCTGAAATTTTCTTCTGTTTCTTGGATTAACTCTGTTGCTTCAGATGTCAGCTCCTCTGCTGGTAGGGTCTTGTGTCTCTCTTTCTCTTTTCCCTAAAAATTAGTGATTCCTAATAGAGCACTCAGACTTGTGAATGAACACTTTTCATACTCATCAGAACTTCTCTAGAGTGATTTTGAGAGAAAGGTCAGTTGCAAGATCAGACAGACTATCCCAGTTCCTTGACTTCTGGAAGCAGCTATTTCCTCCTCCCTCAAAGAGAGAGGAGGCCTCATGAAATTTTCCTTCTGTCTAACTAAATAACTACAAGCAATTTCCTCACACAACACTGAGACCTATTTTTCCTCTGTGCTTGGGTTTCCTTCATACTCCTGCTGAGTTTTCTTCTTCCTGTCACTCCTCCTCCATTTTAGATTTTTCTTCTCTCTCCTCTGCTAGCTATGAGGCCTCCTGTTCCTCCAACATGGGACTTTCTCTTTATCCCTTTTGAAGACCCCGAGCTCCTCCTCTTAGGCTTAGCAATTTTCACTACTTTAAGAAATAAAAAGCTCAAGACATCACCTGCTGGGCCTCCAGCTTCACCCTTTGAGGCATTTAGAGGTTCATCCCCTTTTCTTTGCACCCAATATTGCCTTCCTCCTTGATGCGAGTTTTCATTTCAAAGATGGAAGAACACCTTTCTGCAGATCTTTCATAAAAGCCTTCTGACTGGTAGATATTCTAAGGCTTTGCAGGTTTAAAAATGTCTTTAGGCACAGGGACTGGGGGTTCGATTCCCGGGCCTGCTGTGCCGGCCCTGTCCCCAGGGTGTGCGGAGTCGTCAATTGAAACTGGGCATGGTGGCACACACCTGTAATTGTAGCACTTGGGAGGCAGTAAACAGGTGGATCACTATGAATCCATTCTAGTAGTGAGACCCTGAACACCCTGTAGACCCTTCCCTAAAATACAAAAAAAAAAAAAAAAAAAAAAAAAAAAAAAAGTCTTTATGTCACCATCATATTTAAGTGCTAACTCAACCTTGCAAATAAATTTAGGGTCAAGATGGGCGTGATGGTGCACACCTGTAATCCCAGCACTCAGGAGGCTGAGGCAGAAGGATCATTGCAAGTTTGAGGCCAATCTGGGCTCATAGTGAGTTCAAGGCCAGCCTGAGCTACATAGCAAGACCCTGACTCAAAAATCCCCTAATTAATTAATTTAGAATCACAGCCATTTTCCCCAAAAGTACTAAAAATGAGATGCCATTGCTTGCTGACTTTCTAGTTTTGCAGAGAAGTCTGCAGCCAGTCTGCAGCTGTACCACCCTGAACGATCTCGGAAGTCTGCAGCAGGGTCAAGAGGGTCCCTTTATCTGTTGGTGTTTTTCTTTCTTCTACCATGTTCTCAAGTTTTTTCCCCTCCCCTGCTTCTTTCACTGGCTTGTGTTCTCCAGTTCTCTCTGTGCTCTTTCTGGAAGTTCTACCTGGACATCATGATTTCTCCATCTGTCGTCATTACTAGAAGAGATTCCTCCTTTTTTTTTTTTTAACTTTGTCATTTTGAGGTAATTTCTTGCCTCAGTGTCCATTGTGATTTTTAGCTTTGCCTTACTTTGCTACTCAAGTCATCTAGTTTTCTTTTAAAAGTTAACTTTTCAATATCCTCATGTATTTTAGTCTTCTATTTTCTCCACCAGCTCTGTTTTTGGTGAGGCTAATGTTTTACTTCCTTTTACTCTCCCCTACTACTAGAATTCTGTGAATTTGTTACTTCAGATATTATAACTTTTGTTTCTAAAATTTCTCTTGTTACTTGTAAGGGTCTCCATCATCTCTCAAACATGAAGTCCTGTTTTTCCTTCAAGAACTCATATTTATTTTTATCATCTGCTGATGAGTCTTTATACTCTGAATCTAGTACTAGGGCCATTTCCTTCTCAGTCTCCATAGATGCCCTTCTTTCCCTTCAGGGAACTTTTTCCTGTTCCTTTACCCATTTCACTAGCTTGAATCAGACCCTGAACATTGTAGCTATTTTGTCAAAACTGATTTTCTCTTCTTTTTTTAGGGCGTTTTATTTGGGGGGGGGTTCTTTTTGAGACAGGGTCTTACTGTACAGTTCAGGCTGGTCTTGAGTGCACTTTGTAGCCCAGGCTGGTCTCAAACTTGTAACACTTCTTATACCTCAGCCTCCCGAGTGTTAGGATTACAGACAGCACTGCACCTAGCTTAATATATCTTTTATTTCTCTTTTTTCCGCCTTTTCTCAATTTCTCCCTTAAACCTCTCTTTTCCTCTTTAATTACAAAGATTTGCTTCCATTTTATACTTCTTGTCTCATTTTTTTCTTTTCCTGATCTTTCCCTCTCCCCCAACCTAGTTTTCCTCTACTTTTGAGCATGTAAATTTTTTTTGAAGGACTGGGTGTTGAAACTTGGGACATGGAGCTTGCTAGGCAGGCACTTATGCCTCCTGAGCTATATTCTTGGCCCTGAACATGTAAATTTCTTAAAGGGTCTTCCCTTAGTACCATGCTCCCAGGTCTTTAGTTCATCAGTGACTTTAAAATTTCATTTGCATTTTTTCCTTTCAAAGTGGTACTGTTTTTCAGGCATGGTGACACACACCTATAATGCCAACACTTGGCAGGCTGAAGCAGGAGGATCACTGCAAATTCAAGGCCAGCCTTAGCTACCCAGTAAATTGAAGGCCAGTCTGGACTCCATAGGAAGGGAGACAGACCCGTGGTCTACAGATCAGACTTGTAGTGATCCTCCTGTTTGAAACTATTTTTTAAAGCCTCATGCTCTTTTATGAAACTGATAAAAGCTCTGGCATTGTTTTATATTACATAGTTTGTTTGTACAGATACCTGACCTTTCTCCCCCCCACCCTTTTTTTTTCCAGTATGGGGTTTGAAACCAGGGTCTTCACTACAACCCTAGCACCTCTACTTCTTTTTATTTTTTTTTATTTATTTCATTTTTAAATTTATTTTTGTCTGTTTGAAGACAGGGTTTCATTATGTAATTCAGACTGGCCTTGAACTCACTTTGTAGCCCAGGCTGGCTTTGAACTAGCAACGATCCTCCTGTATCAGCCTCCCAAGTGCTGGGAGCACAGGCTGGGCTTGAATTTGTGGTCCTCCTTCCCTATCCAGTGTGTTACGATTACAGGTGTGCATCACCACACTCAGCTATATTTTGTTCAATTTTGGCCACTATTAGGAAATCAGTCTGCCTTCTCTGAATACCAGGTAGTAGAAAAGGAAGGTGGTTCAGAAGGACTGTCATGGCACAAGACTTCAGGTTGAAGTTTAGAAACAAAAGACAATCCAGTATCAGTTTGTGGAAAAGAATTTTTTCTCTATTTATAAAGGGGGGGTGTTACAAGGATAATTAATTACCAGTTATATATATTAAAAAAAACCCTACAAACCTATATCTCCCATAATATCCCATTTTCAGTGAAAAGAGGAAAAATAAATTTGTCCTTTTCTGAAACCATTAGAGCATGCAGGGTTTGTAGGTATCATTTGTCCAAATCAGTGGTTCTCAAACTTTTTTGTCTCCCTAAACATTCCTCTGACACTTCACACTAATTTGAGTTCCCAGCCTACAAGATTCCCTGCTGTTAACATATAGTGATCCTAGTTTTATTTCTGTCTGCATGGCAGAATGAACAACTACAGAAAAGAAGCTAAGGGCTGTAGTGATGAGATGTGCTGTGGTGACCATCCACCTAAGGCCAGGTTGGATTTGGAAGGCCCTGATGGTCCCATCAAATAAGTCCTCTTCCTTTCTGGGCAACAGGTCTCTCCAGCCCAGCCCATCCCCAGTACCGGAGGACGCAGGCGGCGCACAGTGGATGAAGACCCAGATGAACGGCGGCAACGATTTCTGGAGCGCAACCGTGCTGCAGCCTCCCGCTGCCGCCAAAAGCGGAAGCTGTGGGTCTCTTCACTGGAGAAGAAAGCAGAGGAACTCACTTCTCAGAACATTCAGCTGAGTGTGAGTGCATGCTGGAGGATAACTGGGATTACTGAACCTGGAAGGTGGTATCAAATCAGAAAAAAAAAAGAGACAATTGAAGATGACAATTCTTTAATTAGGACACATTGAGAAGTTGTGCCAGGAATAATGCAAAATCTCTTAAAAAAGTTGAGATCCCTTCCCTAGTAAATGGCAGACACTGTCCCCCATGAAATCTATCACTAGGCCCATTTGGGTGAAGGGAATTAGAAAAGCAGCGCCTCAGGGTGTTTACGTCATCAGTAGACATCAGGTGTGGTGGCATACACTGTGACTCCAGCCCTCAGAAGACTGAGTCAGGAAGATTGCTGCAAGATGAAAGCCTGCCTGAATTATATAGTGTGACCTTGTGCCAAAAAAATAACGAAGTTGTTGCTAGAGACCTAGCCATGGTTATGGAAGATTCCTTAATTTTTAGCAGTCCTATATTAGTACATTCTATAGGGTGGTATGACATACTGCTGCAGTGAATATTGCATACCCTTGAGTAAATAGTTCTGCTAAACAAATGCCTAAACCAGGTATGGTGGCACACACCTGTAATCCCAGTACTCAGGAAGCTGAGGCAGGAGGATTGCAAGTTCAAGGTCAACCGGAGATACATAGCTACGTAGCTGGACTATGTAGCCAGACCCCGTCTCACAAACAAAACCAAAATACTTTAGAGGTCTAGATGTAGTCTTTCTTTCCTAGTAAAAGAGCATATAGATTATTAGTTTGAGTAAAATCACATTTGCCTAAATAAGAGTGGTTTTTCTATAAGTCCCCCCTACTTTTCACAGTGGGCAATTCCTATCATTGAATTCATGACTATATTGGCCCTCCACTCTCTGAAGTCTGGCTGGGTGACAAGTCCTATTCAAGTTTGAGGAGAAAAATCCAAGCAGCGCTCTGCCCTTATTCTGGGCTGTATGGCTTTTTAGAATCCAAGAGTGGAATCTAAATTTTCTCAATACTCTTTTCTTCCCTCCCCCCTCAGAATGAAGTGACATTACTACGCAATGAGGTGGCTCAGTTGAAACAGCTACTGTTAGCTCATAAAGACTGCCCAGTCACTGCACTACAGAAAAAGACTCAAGGCTATTTAGGTGAGTGGCTACCCAAAATCAGACAGTAAATTGCATGTTCTGCATCTCAGCTGTTTATAATCTGTCCTGAAAGTGCTAGGAGCACTCGGATGGTTGAGTGAGGAGTCCTTGTGGAGCAGCTAGTCCTAACCTCCCCCAAAAAAGTTTTATTTTTTT